ATGCCTACAATCTTAATGAAAATTCTGTGCAGATGTCAAAACATGATTCACTCCTTGGATGCTGTTGATAAAACACAATTTAAATACTTTGAAGGCTATTTCAAAGCACACACAGAAAAAAAAAAAACAACTTTGCTGAGGTCCATTTTTCAACATACTTCATCACAAAATATTTTTTTTTCATGTAGACAAGTGCTACCAATGGTCTTCAGAACCCTGCTCATAGCTTGAAAGGGAATTCCCTATAAAAAAAATGTGTTTACAGAAGACACAAGAAGCCTGATTCCATCTCCCGGTTCTTTGCAAACATGAACGTCGTTGACTTCTTGGGCAAATATAACAGCTAAGAAAAACCCAACTATGCTACAGCATTGTGATGGTGCTTAAACTTTACATTCATGAACAGATTTTAACTGGGTCCAGAGGGCCTAATTAGACCACCTGAAAAGTATTCAAAGCTTAAATGAGTTTGAATCTAAATAGGATAGATGAATGTTCACTATATAATATAACCGCTATGGTGGAGATTAAAAAAGAACTCAGGAACAATTTAGCAATAAAAGGCATTGCTGGAGTCATCATCTCTCTCAACAGTTGACACTGAGTTGAAAAGAAGTAGATGTCTCTGGAAGGTGGAAGAAAATGCACACTTTGGGATCCTTTTATCTTGGATGAGCAGCTGGAGACACAAGATGGGGAAGATGAACCAATCAAGCTAACAAGATAAAAAGAATCTCTATGATCAGATATAAAGCAGCTACGGGCCACAAGAGTATCTCTGTGATGGGTCCAAAACGGCAAATGCTGAATGAGTTAAGCCCATGATGACCCTGGAACAGAACATGTAGGAAATGAAGTAATTATTTCAAATAAGTTTAGGAAACTCTTAAAACTTTTCTAGATTTCTAAAAGCCACTTAAACACCTTGTGTTGGATTTCTGTGGCAAGGTTTTGGTAGTGGGAGGACTATAGGGGTAACTTCTATGAGAAGCTGCTAGAAGCCTTCCCCAAGTCTGACAAATCCAATGGCAGCTGGCTCCCAGACGGACCCACCGCTGGCCAAAGCTGAGTCAATTAGTGACAGTGATAGCACCTCTGGGATAACATATTTCACAATGGGAAATAAAAAACCTAACTAGGGTGGAAAATCATCCAGACAGAGGATTGAGAATATGTGAGAAAACCAACTCTGTAGACACCAAGGTGAGGGAAGAAGGAGGGTGAAGATGTGCTGCAGGTGCTGCAGCAGAGACTCCTCTGCAGCCCGAGGTGAAGATGGTGGTGAGGCAGGCTGTCCCCCTGCAGCCAATGGAGCTTAGCGGCGGAGCAGATATTCACCTGCAGCCTGTGGAGGACCCCACGCTGGAGCAAGTGGTTGCACAAAGGAGCAAGTGGTTGCACAAAGGAGGCTGTGACCCTGTAGGAAGCCTGCACTGGAGCAGGATCCTGTCAGGACCTGTGGACCCATGGAGAGAGGAGCCCAAGCTAGTGCAGGTTTGCTGGCAGGACTTGTGTCCCGCAAGGAATCCACACTGGAGCAGTCTGTTCCTGAAGGACTGTACCCCGTGGAAAGGACCCAGGCTGGACTAGTTCAGGAAGCACTGTAGCCTGTGGGAAGAACCCACACTGGAGAAGTTCATGGAGGACTGTCTCACGTGGGAGGGACCCCACGCTGGAGCAGGGAAAGTGCGTGAGGAGTCCTCTCCTTGAGAGGGAAGGAGTAGCTGAGAAAACGTGATGAACTGACCACAACTCCCATTCCTTGTCCTTTTGTCCTTCTGTCCTTCAGGGGGAGGAGGTAGAGAAAATCAGGAATGAAGCTGAGCCCAGGAAGAAAGGAAAGTGTTTTAAGATTTTTTTTTATTTCTAATTACTCTGCTCTGATATAATTGGTAATAAATTAAACTAATTTCCCCAAGTTGAGTCTGTTTTGCCCATGACAGTCATTGGTGAATGACCTCCCTGTACTTATCTCAACCCATGAGACTTTTTTTGTACTTTTATCCCCTTGTCCAGCTGAGGAAAGGAGTGACAGAGCAGCTTTGGTGGGCATCTAGCACCCAGCCAGTGTCAATCCACCAGCACTCATAAGCAAAAGTTCTTGCTTGTCTTATTTTGTCATTTTTAATACAAAGGCCCCTTTTATATTCTTTCCATACTGCAAAAAAGAGCAGTTTTTAATGAGTATAAGAGCTGGTTGCCCAAAATTTGAGACCCAGGCTTAGAATCATAGTGAAGATGTGGAACTGGCCTTCTAGGCTGTAAGAGCATTCTTTGCATCAGTAGGTGACTTTACTTTGAAACTCATTATCTTGAGGAAAAAAAAAAATCAGCAACATTTCTGTGTCCCTAATGAACTGTTAATTGCTTAATCACTTCAACAATCTATTCAGCATTGGTATAAAATATTCTGAAAAAGCTTTGATTATAGGGCAACACAATCAAATCCAGCTGACAGTTCTGGGAAGTAAGATGAATTATTGCAGCCACCCATTACTACATTGCTAAAGCTTAAGGATGCAAAGGACATATCCATCTCTCACACAGATGAACAATAAATGTACTTGAGCTCTCCAGAATTTTTACTGTTTGACAACAGAATCAATCTATCTTATGATACTCTATTTCTCCTTAGGTAAGTACCAAATGTTGACTTAAGTCATCCTCCTTATCAATACTGAAGGTATGCACCGTGGCTCAACGTCCTCTCAACAGAGAAATTTATCATTTTAAATGTGGGAGTACACCAAATCAGTCTTCACATTTAAACCCCCTATTTTTCTGTAGTCTGAACTAATGATATTACTTTCTATAGTTAATTTGTGGTGATGTGCAGAATGTGTACAACTGTGCAAAAAGCACAACTTCAGAATGCAGTATCACCTATGGCAGAGAAAGGTATGCAAACATATTTCCTGAAAGTTTATTCTACCTCATAGGATAACACACTGAATGCAATTAGTATATGTCTTCAAATAACAGTGACCTTGGTCATGATTTATTTGCACAAAGATTTCAATACACTTGTGCATTTTGGCCCCAAACCCGCAAAATACCAACACACAAAAATTAGATCATGTGTTAATATTTCAAAATTCAGTGTATTTCCTCTTAACTCAGAATGACTAATTGGATTTTTTAAATATATATTTTATTTTTTAAAGATGTATATCTAAAAAATCCTTTCAGTTTGAAGACCATGTTTCAGTAGTTCTATAAAAATAAAAGTATAGTTGAGGAAGAAATACTTGACATCAATAGAAAAAAATTATCATTACTTATAACTTCATTAACAGTAAAATAAAACAGAATTATGTTTTTTCTTTTTCCTCTTACCTTTGTTTTACTGTCGAAACAGGTAAATCCCAGAGCAAAGTCGATGGTGAAACATAGAGCATCCCCTTGCCAACTGCATAAATATGTTTTAGACTGGAAAAAAAAGTATGACTTTGAAAGAACAACCATAATCATAATTTATTATTTAAAAATAGTATTTTATGCAGGATTTTTTTTTTTGTGTAGGAAGATACTCAGCAGGCAAACTGGTATTGCTTTATATCATTACATTTTAATATTGTAAAAAATAAGTCAGCATGAGATCTGTCAGCTAAATATTAACTGGGGGTCTACTCTACAAAGTAAATACCATACTCTTGGAAACCATCCTTTACAAAAGGCAAAACAGAACAATCAAAGCCAAATCTGACTATTTCAAGCTTTTGGAAAACTGCTTAAACCTGACATGACCTGATGGCTTCTGACATCATTCCCAGCAAACGCACAGGTAACAGAACCTAAATGTTTAGTCACTGCAGTCTCATTATGAACAAGCTGTCTACCTGACCTCTCTGTCTTATTTAAACTGTAGACTTTTTCCTTTTGCGACATTATTTAATTTGTAAACTTGGGTGACGTCCCATTGTAACCATATATTAATTACTATTAGTTAACATAATTTAAGAAGAACTAATAATTATCACTCAGTAGTTAGTGCTGATACTTGCTAGTCAGTGCTATATATACCAATTCTTTGATCACTGTCCAGGTTAGAAAAGAAGATCAGTTTTATTAACAAAACTCAGAAGTTCTGCTTAAACTTCTGAATAAGATTTACAGTAAAAGTCAATTAATATTCTTCTTTGTATCTGTTTTTAAGGCCAGTTAACTTGGATATATGATGGATTCCAAAAGCACATGAGAAAGCTTCTGCTGGTGATGTAACATGAAACAGCTTCCTGACAATCACCACTCACAGTTAATGGCAAAAACTTCATTGCCTTCAGCATTGGTAGAGAACAGATCTTGCCTCCAACCTTTCCTTACCAGCCAGTTTTAAATTGATACCCTTTTTTTTTTTCTTACAAGAGAGCATTAATTTATGCTCTCACGTCTCACTGACATTTCATAAACCACTATGTTAACTCACGCTTAGACATTTCTTTATACAATTTTTTTTTTAAGTTCTAAAAGGTGATTTTAACACAAGAATGGTCTAGAGGAGATTGAAAGCATTAATAAACTTCCTTAAACTGAAAACTGTCATTTTAACATTTTTAAAAAAGATTTTTAGCATGATCTAAAACTTCTGCATTTAGTAATTCTAAAGGTTTCCTCATTACACTATTAATAAAAATATTTAGAGTTATATTAAAATAAGCATTTCTGAGTTAGAGATATGACATTTTATAAAGAATTTTGAAAGGGCTGGGAATGAAATTAATTTATTAGTACAGATTAGTATTATAATCAGCTCAACAATGACAGAGATGTATATTACTTCTGAATAAATTATTTTGCTCATTGGTGTTCAAAGATCATATTATTTGGCATTTAAAAAGATTTCAGTGATTGATATTCAATTAGAATGACATTTAAATATCCCTAAATTTTATTCAGTAATTATGAGGTGGCATTAAGTGCCAGTCATAACTTAGTGTTCATTATTTTCCAATTAAAAATGTTATACTAGCTGAGCTCTGACTCAGCAAAGCAATTTTAAAAACGTATTAAGCATCTGATTGCTCAGCCACAAATGGTGACTACCAAAATGAACTATGCACAAATAATCAGCCTGGAGTATTTTACAAATATTCAATACTTGCAAATAGTGGAACTGGTTTGGAAAGTATTTGCAGACAAATACTACAGACAAACAGAATATGCTGCATTTTCACTGTGATAAACATTACAAAAAGATATATAAGGTTTATACTTAAAAAATACATTAATAGTATTTTCTTTACAACAGAATTAGTCTGTTTTGCTGTATAAATTTAAAAGCCTCCCTGTGGCATTTCCTCAATGGCTTTGAACAGGTTCTCAGACAGCTCTGTGGTGAGGACCCCCATCTCCACTCTTTAGTACTAGCACAGAGCACTACACCTCTTCATTCCCGCCTTTGGAATAAGCTTCCTTGCACACTTGCACTTGGGCCATCGCCTCCGGTTATCCACAACTGTTACTTATTTGGAAGCTTATAGAAGACATGTAAGCTTAGCTATCTTTTAGTCAATTCTGCAGAAAATAAAAGAGCACTACATATTAGACAGCTTGAGAGCTCACAGTTTAAGCAACAGGGAGGAATAAAACAGGTTGTATAAAATATCTTCCTTACCAAGAGGAAATGAGAATTTTCTGTGCTTAGGCCTAATAATAGCGTATCACGAAACACTTGGGAACTATAAGCAGAGGTAGAGATGTACTCTGGGTGGTTCTGCTCTGGCAGGGGGGTTGGACTAGATGATCTTTCGAGGTCCCTTCCAACCCCTATGATTTTATGATTCTATGATTCTATGATTCTAGACGAGATCAGGTTATAAACCTTAAGATATGAATTAAAATATTATCCAATCATATAGCTATACCTGAACTGAACACAGAAGGATTACATAGCGTATACTCCTTTTAATGGAGCTGACTTTTATCACTCTAGTGCTGTTGTTCCTAATGCCTCATCAAGCTTACAGCTTCAAAAACTGATTTGATGCCTGGCTACTCTGTGGTTAATTGTCGTCTTGCATGAAGAAAGACCTCACTTTTGCTTCAACAATGGCATTAATACACAATATAAAAACTCATCTGGACTCAGTGATGTTCTGTTGAGCAGGTGTTCTAGTGCTTTTGACCAGCCAAAATACAGAAATAAATACAGGTGCTCTATTCTGAATACAAATTTGGCACATACATGTTTTTCCTTGTTTATTTTCCAAAAAGCAATTGGAAAGAAGAAGTACCACTACACTTTACTGCTTAAACTACACATTTCCCCTGCTCCTCTGTCAACTACTTCATAGCTGTATGCACACATTTGCTCTAAGATGGGCTGTAAAGGTTTGTTACATGTGATGTGGACACAGACACCATTTCTCACTACACTCGTGTTATGGAATTCAACATATACTTTATAAATAAATTATAAAAATAACCAGACAGAAAAGCATTTGAGGAAGAATTATATTGATATGTCTACAGTACACATATTGGACACTATATTCATATTACTAACTTTATGTTAAAATATGTGCTATGCCTCTGTGTGTAAATAATATGCCAGTGACCAATACACTAGATGCTAAAATCTTAATAAAACTTTGATTTTTCTTAGCACAAGGGAGTATTTCCATTAAAATTAAATTAACATTATTTTATTAGTCCAATGAATATATTTTTTGAATATTGTTTTCCAGAGACAGGTCATCACTTTTACATGTAAAATAATACAACTGGTAAGAATACAGTTTTATTTGTCCAGTAAAAACAGTACCCACTTCATATATTATAAAACAGGCATCACCATCTGGTTCTGGTCTTTTCTATAGTTAACTATCAATGAATATAGATACAAACTGATAACAATACTTCATGCATTTAACATGTTTAATTTAGTGATGACCCCAAAATCTATTAAAGTCAATGGTAAAGCTCTTTTGAGCTATTCAAGATTTGTCTGTTGTTATCTAATGTAAAAAAAAAAAAAAAAAAAAAATTACAAAGCTTAGCACTCTTCCCTAATAAAGGAACTGACTTTTCAACAAAGTCCACTAGCTTACAAAGACTTAAGAAAGTTAATTGTATACAGATGAGGACGAGAGTGAAATTATAATGGACTAAATGTATATGAAGTGATTTGTTTGTCATTCTCCATTGAACTGCAGATTAACATAAAAATTAAGTTTAATTTTAAGAGTTTTCCCTAGAAATCAATTACTGGTCAACATTTCAAACATTAACAATACTCCAGGGCTGCCAATATGAATTTATAAAATTTTGACATCATCCAAATATCACTGATACTGAGACCAAATCCCACCTCATATTACATTTAACATTTTTTTTTCATTCTTTCTATCAGTGTGGGTATTTGTAAAATCTGGGAGGAAGTTTGTAGGACTTGTTAGAGGAACTTAAATGCCTGAAACAAATGAAGGACCTAAATTATGTGCTCTATATTATGCATTAGGAATAAAATAATGCACAACAGCATTGAAAATACACTGAGGATAATGAATAAAAGGTTATACCAACAACAGACAGTTTGGAACATTGATTCTTGCATTAAAACTTCATACAGTAGGATTTTACAAGCTATTAAATCATACAGGTGTGATGGTAGTAAGGTTTCTTAATGCATCAAATGTATTTACCAAAACATACAGTTTGGTAAATAGCCTTAATATGGGACTGACTAGGTCAAGAAGGAGGATGCGGAGATGGTAATAAGAGCACCTAGAGTCATTATGGTTGTACTGAGAAATGTGTCTTGGCCCAAATACAGAGAGTGTACTAGCAGGAATACAAAATTAAATCCCTTAATTCTGAAAACAGTCTGCAAAATCTTCCACAGTCTTTTCATGTAGAATTACTTGTGCTAAATGGAAGTGCTTTTTAAGCTCTCCGAAATTCCAGAACAGTTGAACTGAAAATGTACATACTTTGTCTTTCTCAAATTTAAAAATTCCAGGTTTTATTTTAGGATAATATATTTAATATTATATAACTTTAAAAAAGCAGAACTTTCAGAAGACTAAAAGTTCCCTGAAAGCATTCTCACTCTGAATCCACATTACATATGTGAAAATGAAATGACAACGAAATCTGACATTCATCAAAAGCACAAGTTTTCACAAATGTCATCCAGAACAGAGTTCTGAAACCCGTGTGTATTCCTGTTCCAGATAACTGTACAAAAGGATCCATGAAATAATTTCTGTGAAAGTGAATGAATGAATACCACTTAAAAAATGTGGCAAACCCACTCATTTGGCCATACCTTTAATGAATTCATGAAAAGTTTACACAACTGTGATAACTATTGTTAGATACAATTAAAACCACCTTTACTGAAACAAAACATATCTGATTTAAAATATTGTAAGTTCTTTCAAGATCTGCAGTTGCTGCAATCGAAGGAATTTTGTCTAATGCCCTGA